AAACAACGCAAATATTAATTCCAGTGACTATACAGTATGGCACCAAATAAAGACATAAATAATAATAAAGAGCAGGAAAAAAAGAAAGAGCTGCCGAAAGAAACTCCGAATCAAAAAAAGAATAAAGACAAACAAGAAAATGGAAAAAAGATAATAACAAAAAATAACAACAAAATCTGATTATTATCAGAGTAAAGTAAATTTTAAGTGTAAGTGCAGAAACTTGAATCAGGATATTATTATCTAATAACTTTACTGTAAAACCACATAGAATCATAAAGTAAAACCTAGACTCGACAATATTAAACAACGCAAATATTAATTCCAGTGACTATACAGTATGGCACCAAATAAAGACATAAATAATAATAAAGAGCAGGAAAAAAAGAAAGAGCTGCCGAAAGAAACTCCGAATCAAAAAAAGAATAAAGACAAACAAGAAAATGGAAAAAAGATAATAACAAAAAATAACAACAAAATCTGATTATTATCAGAGTAAAGTAAATTTTAAGTGTAAGTGCAGAAACTTGAATCAGGATATTATTATCTAATAACTTTACTGTAAAACCACATAGAATCATAAAGTAAAACCTAGACTCGACAATATTAAACAACGCAAATATTAATTCCAGTGACTATACAGTATGGCACCAAATAAAGACATAAATAATAATAAAGAGCAGGAAAAAAAGAAAGAGCTGCCGAAAGAAACTCCGAATCAAAAAAAGAATAAAGACAAACAAGAAAATGGAAAAAAGATAATAACAAAAAATAACAACAAAATCTGATTATTATCAGAGTAAAGTAAATTTTAAGTGTAACAGAAATATAAGACTCTGACGAATAAATCTGACAAGAATTAAAAGTCAATTAAAGCCAAAGACTGGATGATAATGTGTTATTCAGTTTAGTAATAAAAAGAATCTATGTCAAAGCTATTAATAAACTCTTCGGTCTTGTTTCTGGCCCTCCTCAATATGATAACTGATAAATATTCATGCAATAAGTCTAATGCAATTAACATTGTATGAAATAAAATTCTGCAAAATACATTCAATCAACCACTGTGCATAAGATATCGTAAATCGTTATGAAGACGTGTCAAGACGTTTCATAGAATTCACAATTAAATTAACAATTAAAATCAACAGCAACTATACTCTTTTTGTTATGCTTAAAATAAATAAATTTTTTATACCAATTATGAATTAAATTCATGCCTTGTTTAATTATTGACATGCCCTCTCCTCCTCCCCTACCTGAATTATAAATTGTAAGCGGAGATATGTATTGAAGACTCCAGTAACGTGTTAGTACATTCCTTATCAATTATAAGGATGATGAAATCCACATAAAAACACAAAGTAAATATGATCCTATTCAAGTGTATGTAATTTGATTAATCAAGAGTGAAATTTAAAAGAAATTCTTTTAGTTATATTATATTGTATTTTATGCTATTTAATTTTAATTAAAATATTTTTTATTACTAGATGCAGCAGAAACTTGAATCAGGATATTATTATCTTTGCGCAAATAAGCAATGCATTATACGAGCCGCCGCCGACAGTTTCTTTGCCATCAACTTCAGACGAAAAAAAGCATTTCGGAATGATGATTTCCTTCGTGCAATATATTATCGGACTCTATGGTTGTCTTACTTGCAATTGCGAATAATTATATAGATGTGTTTCATAATAGATATATTGTAGAAATTAGCGTCATTTTAGACTTGTTAAAGATTTGGGGAAAAAAATATTTCATATATGGATTCCTTCGCATCAGAGTAATGAAATGACAGATTGACTTGCAAAAGAGGCGACAGAAGAAGAATCTGATCTCAGTGTCGAGGTTCCACTGAAAGATTTTAGACGAGAATTTAGACAAGAGACTTGGAATATGGACACAGGATAGAATTGTATAAATATAAGGCAAGATTTAAAAACCAATTTTATTTTAAAAATTTCTATGAGAGAAACAAAAAGAAATCACTATTTCATAAATTGAACAGGCAGAGATATTTTGTTACTTTGGTCAACAGGTCGAATCATTTCAAGTTACTAAAATGTTTCAAAATGTTTCTTGCTTACTGGATTCTTATTAGTTCAGAGTCATTGGGACATTTACCTTACTGAAACGGGAGAGCATCCCGTTTTACGTTGCAATATAGCTAATCACAACGATCAATGCTTATAGAGTTTTAGCAAATAGGCGCTACTTGTAACATGTAGTCAATATTCTTGTTAATCTATAAAAGCTAGTCTTCTTCTTTCGTTTTTGTTTTCTATTTGGGGTATGCATGTAAGTAACAATAAATACTGTTATTGTACTGAAAGCTTAATTTTACATAACTTTTTTGTAACGAAAGCTCAGAGTTATGAATTCGATGACAGTTATGATGTCCCTGTGACACCCAAAAAGAAAAAAATCTCTTCTATATTTATTCTTGTTGAAAATAATCATTTACTCTGGCTTCATTACACTTACCAGAGTTCAATGATTGGTTGACTCCATGCGAAAATGATAAATATAAAGCAAAATGTAAAGCGTGCGATCAAATTTTAATAGCAGGGCAAAGCGATTTAAGAAACACGCTAACACGTTAATACATAAGCAAAATGTAAGAACAAACGTTTTATAAATTTATTTACATTTTCAATACGCGCGTTTAAAATTAATATAACTTAATAATTCTAATAACGTATAATAAAATTATATATATCTCATGTAACATTTATTTGTGTAAAATTTGAAATTCTAAATAATTTTTCATTACGTGCGTGTAAAGATTGCTCCCTCGACCTTCTCATACAAGAATACTAGAGAATGTAAATTTGATCGTATATAGTATAAACGAATAAGCTAAATAACTTCATTTCGTAAATTTATTTAACATACATTTAAAATTAAAAATTAATATA